AAATCTCCACACATTTCCCAGATCCACTGCATAGCCAATGACAGAGAGGAGAAAGTCAATTTTTTTACTCCAGGTCTCTCTGTCTTCCAACTCCATCAGCTGCTGCTGACCTTCAGCTCCACAGGTGGTGGATGTGGTGGTTGTGGTGGTGGTTGTGGCTGCTGGGGCAGTGCACTGGGCATCTTCCACCTCCCCCATGCCATTGCAGGGACCTGAGCTCTGAACCCCTGAATAACCATTTGAGATCTGAGCTGCCTCCCCTTTCTCCCCCTGGCTGGGGTGGACTTTGTTGCCATCCTCCACCAGCCGTAGGGCAGATTTAGGGTTCCTGACCAGAAGTCCATTTTCTTTACAATCTTCTCCTTTGTTACAGTCTGAGACATCTTTCTTGGAAGTCAGTGGCTCAGTCTCTTGGCTTGCTGCCTTTTTTTCCATTTTTTCCAAGCTTTCTTGTGATCACTTGCAGACAGGCAACAGCACAGAGTTCCCTTGTGGCTTGTCTTCCCACACTTTTATTCCCAGCACTTTCAGAATTCCTCTTCCATATTTAAATCCATCAGATTGAAGGCACAAGCACCATCTAAGAAATGAAAGAGAGTTAACAATCCACTACAGGCCTTACTTACAACTGAGAGATTCTGTGATTTAAATACATTTGGAAGGAATTAACCATCACAGCATGCAATGTGAGTCATGGAGCACATTAATCCATTCAGGATTTTGTCCAAAGGAAGGAAGCAATCATCTTCTCCTACAGCAGAAGTCAGTGTACCTGGCTTACACCCTGTCAGGCAGATCTGCTGGACTTTGTGCATGGTTGGACAACTCACAGGTAGTCACAGTTCTGCTGTCTTCTGGTGCCACATTGTCCCTCTGAGCACTGGTCTCACACCCAGGGAGGCTGTGGGAATCCCAGTGTGCAAAAACGAAGACAGAGTTTAGTGTGGCTTGTGTTTTCATTTTCATCATCCTCTGACTAATCCACTCATCCTGTGGCAATTTCTACATTCACCCAGTATGAAGGGAAAAGGATTAATTCAGTATCAGGTAACAATAGGTACACAAATATCTTTCTTCAGAAATCTCACAGTACCTGTTGTGTTTAGCAGCAAACCTAGAAGGGTTAAATGAAGGCATAGAGAAGTATTTAAATCTCAATGGGTTTGCATTAATTAACTTTTGAGGCTCAGTCAACACTAATAACAAGAAAAAAAAAGATCATAAACTTGTTTTGATTCTTTTGAGTAAGAACTAACATGTCAGTCTAAAAGATAAAACTTGTCCTCAGTTTTATTTGACTTCTTAGATGCAATTGAAGCATATTTCATTGTGTTTGGATCTGCTTGTGCTGTGGTTCCAGTCCTGGAAAGAGTAGTGGGCATTGCTCCTGTGCTGCTGCTCACTGCCAGCAAAAAACAGGCACTGGGAGTATCCCTGGCTTTACCTACTCTCTTTGTATGTGCTGAAAGCATAATCCAGGGGAAATAAACCATCCCAAAATAAAGAAAAATTGTGACACAATTAACTTTTCCTGCAGAACAAAGAGAACAGAAAAAGAGTTGTGATTCAGCAGGTTACGTTTTGTGTTCTGCTCATTTGTTCAGGTAATGTAAATGCTCAGCTGCCTTTGCCCAACCAAATCTTGCACCAGGAGCTGATCTTCTGGGCTGGAAATTCCCCAAGGTAGTAACACTGAGCTAGCAAAGAGTCACCCAATCTACACCATTGCACCACAGATTAAATCATTCTAACTACAACTAATTTTTCCTTTTCAAAGCACTTTATCACAGGAACTTCGTTGTCACATCCTAGGAGAAGAATAAGTATAATTTCACTTGTAACTGAGGAAAATCTAAAGCACAAAGGGGACAGTACTTGCTTATTTGTAGAATTTGCTGATTACCAGAGCTATTAAAACTCAAGTTTTTTTCCTCCAGCTTTCAACCTTTTGCAAAGACAATTTGTTAAGCCTCTTTAAAGTGCAAACAGAAAGAGAAGGAAAGTTATTGAGCTGCAGAGCAAACAGAAGGATGTTCTCTAGACAAAAGTCACTTGGTGATGTTGTTTATAACTTTCAGAAATCTCTAGTTCTCCAGGCTTACATTCTTTACCCAAATCATGTTCTTTTCATCATACAGCAGTGCATCATTAATGTGAATTCTTACAAGAGCAAGTACTTTGCTACCATTAGTTAATCATCCACAAAGATTGAAACATCTTCATAGTTCCAGAGAAAAACACTAGGGCAAAGAACAGGAGATTGTGTTTTACCTGCAGGACTATAAAACCTGAATGTCTTTGGAGTCCAAAGCCTTCCAAGTGTCCCAAAAGAGCTTATGTAGATGGAAGTTCTACCACCACTGGAGGCTACACAGAAATCCTAGGAAAGGCCACAGCCAATCCTTCCCTTGTATAGAGCATGTTAAATATCAGGTAGAAATATGGAAAGGTAACCTGAGCCCTTCTGGACTTTACACCTCTCACCCATAAATGGGAAAGCAGTAAAGGATGTTGATTTAACTGCATTATCTCATGGGACTGATTTTTCCACACCTGAGGTTTAAACTCTCACTGGATTTGTAAAACAGTTTATTTCTGCATAAAGATACTTCTCAGCGGTTGTTTTACCTAGGGAAAGTCATCAAGTTTGTTGTTGGTTTCCGAGATCTGTGACAAAGAGGATCATTGTCTGATTCAGATCTAAGCTCCTTCTGGTCTTCTGCAGACCACAGGAAAGAAATACCACATTATTTGAAATATTCTTGTCACCTGTTCAGTAGTTTGAGACTCAAATATGCAAAATGACATGTGAATTTTCAGGGGTTCAGCTGAAATTTGAACTGTTTCTGACAGAGAAGTGCAGCTGGTCAGCTGTTCTGGGAAATCTCTGGAGTGATGGACTCCACATCTGTTCACAGGGGCATAGTTGGTACATGAAAACAGAACAGTTATGGAATCAGAAGATTTTGTTACAGTGTGAAAAACTGTGGGAGAATGTCCTGTTTCCCCTGCTTGGTTACAAATCAAGAAAAAAATGTTTGAAGGAACTGTAGCCACTGCAAACAGTGTGAAGAGCTGCAGAAGTAGAGCTCATGGGGTTGGAAGATATGCTAGGACACCAGGGAAGATACTCAGGGGGAAATTAGACTAGTAGTGAAGGCTTTTGCCCACCTCAGCCTCCACTTCTCTGTGCAGTGATCTGTCAATACTTCAGGTGCTTGAATGATGACAGTGAGTGATCTAAGAAATGACAATTTATTACCTGTTTTCAATCTGAGCTGTCCCAAAGGTTGCTCTTACATAACTGCACCTTGGCTCTTATCACCCATAATTAGCTACAGGAGAAGAGAAGATAAAAAGAGGAAGAAGATACCTGTGCCTTCCTTTCGTTTCGATCTGTTTGGCAGATGTGACTTTGCTCCTTCGGGAGGCCCTAAGTACTTTGTCTCTCTCCAGGAGCTCTGGGCAGGGATTATTCCACAGGGCAGGTTTCCTCTCAGGAGTGCTGTGCTGTCCGGGAGCAGGTGTAAAGTGCCACACTGCAGCCCTGGGCATGGCACTCCTCCCTGTGCAAAGAGTGACTAAAGAGGAGTGACCCTGGAACGAGCAGCGTGGCCACCACAGCCATTCCCTGCTTTGCTTCTTTATTGAAAACACTCAGAGGCATAATTGGAGAAATGTGTTTCTACACGCTTGGCTGAAGCCCAAACACAGTTCACATCAGCCAAATATTAATTAAATTATATTTATTTATCTCCCACACAGCGCTAAACTCGAACCAGCACTGTAAAAACCCTGTATGTCCCTCGGGGCACTGACCCAGCTCCTTTGCCTCTATCAAAGCAATCCTCGAGGAGCATCCCTGGCCTGGGGTCCCGTTCCTCCTGCACAGCTGATGGATCAGCTCTTCGGTTTCTGGAGGCAGGCAGTGACCTCTCCTGGCAGTGTGGGAATCCCTTGCCTTTAATGCTCTGCCACGGAGTAAACAAATCTTTCTAGTACTTTGAAACAAAGTGATTGTCCTGCTCTTTGTGTTTTTATAAGGAGAGATTGACTTTCATAATACGTCTAGGAGAGTAAAGCAATTAGGCTGAAATACAGCAATTAGCAAATACTTCCAGGGAGTCAAATCCTGAGGCCTCGAGTCACCTGGAGGTTGCTGTGTTTGCGGTGAGGCTGCAGCACAAAGCTTGTCCAGCCCCTCGTGTCTGACTGCAGAAGTCACTACTTGTCTGCAAACGATCCATTATATTTTAACTCACACAGTTACAAAATTTGTAGCTTTGCATATATTTCACTTCGTACAAATTATGTTCTTTTTTTCATGTGCTGATTGCATAAAGCAAAACTTGTGGAGCAGCAGC